AGATTACGTACGCGCATATCCGTGAATGCGTATAGAGAAATAAAACTTAGAAAATTTTGTATCACGCGTGAATGCAAAATCACTACATTCTTTTTATTCTAAGAATTCTAGAATTATACTTACACGTAATATAATTATTGTTTATTTTAAGTATTCTAAAAGAATTTCTACAAATGATGTAAACTTTGAGGCCTAAGAGAAAAATAAAATCCGCGCAGCAAAAATAATTCTTTGTACTTTTAAGTTTTTCACTAACTACAATTGACCTTCACTGATTAAGGTCACATTTTTCATCCGATCTACATAAACTGATGCGTTCTATTATACTCATTAGATAGTAGGTATAAACAGACGGGTGAACATTTTTAAAAATTAAACAAGAGGAATCAGTTTACAGTATCACTTTATTATAATTTTATGTGTCTATTTTAATCTGCTGAAAAATATGAAAACATCCATCATCAACGTGAAATAATTTGTTTAGAATTGAATGAGCAAAGCGATATAAATAGTTTTATTGTTCTCCTTATCATCAGATAACACGATGAAATGATCAGGATTCATAAAAGAACAATCAGTTGATCAAAGATAAGGTGGTAATGAGAGGAGTTTAATCGTGTTGGAAGATGCATGTTGAATTGATTGAAGTTAGACAGAAACACCGTTGGAAGCCGTCTTGATGGCCTATGTGTTAAGGGTTCTTGCGAACCTGGAGGTGATGAGCTCTGTCCTCTTGTAAGTGACTTCATACATTTGTGCCGCGTTTTGGTTACGCTGCTCTTAACTTTCTTCCAACATAATCCTAGACAGCAAAACTTTGCTTGTCGGGACAGTCGAAGGTTTAGCATTGCTGACTTATGGTACAAACATCTCAACTAATGAAGACACAATACTTCATCAATTGATTTGCCATCCTTAATTATTACGCTTTTCCGAACACTGCAATGCTTACTCAGCGGTCCTAGGATATGTGTAGATTGGTGGAAAATTTGTACCTGGGTAACCGATCATGTTATATATTCGTATTACTACTGTTGTGAATCCTGATCACCAAGTATTATAGCTAAGAACAATGTTGAGCTTGCAGTCTTAATGTTTGTATTTAACTATCCATTACACTGTTTATACCGAGAACATGTACAATTCTTACCATGCCAACTGAGAACATGATAGGCTGGTGCAATGAAGGCATACTGACTCTCAATGATACGTCTTCCAACAAATTCTTAAATCATAGAATTCTTAAACCAACATCTACAATCACTTATAAACCACATTCCTCACACGATAATATCACACCGGTTGGAAACAGATAAAAATAATCTAAACACACATACTTGAATTGGTAAACGAAATATGTTAGTTATACTGGACAAAGTGTGCAGTAGGTCAGTCAGTCAGTCAGCCAAAACGTAGCGAGTCGTACGTACTATATACATCAGTTCAGGTAGCCGTATCACATTAGCACAGAGAGGTTGAATTCTCAATTCAAATACCATAGCAGAACAAGTGTTAGCGGTAATAGGGAAGGTTTGGTGTAGAAGATATGATTCAATTAGTTCTTAACAATGAAATCAACCTGAAAAGAGAAATATATAGGTAATGAGAAACTCAGATTACAATTTCGGTGAAGGTAAAGAATAATTTTTTATCCAAAATATATAATCATTTATAAACCACATTCCTCACACGATAATATCATACAATTTGTAAATATATAGAGGCAATCTAAACACACAGAGTAAATATAGTTTACTTAAATCGATTAACGAAATATGTTAGGTATACTAGACAACGCTGGCTGTTAAGATATGTAGTGTATCAATCTCTTATGCATGGCTTGATGCATATCATTTTGAGCCTATTGAGGAAAACATATATTTTGAAAAGTTATGACCAAGGCAGCGAAAGCCCTAACCAACACACTGACAAAACTGCCGGTTTTTTGTTAATCTCCCAGCAGCTGTTAACAGTACAGAACAGTGGGTGAATATAAAAAGGAGAACGGCCAAACCTCAACTCACAAACGGCTACCACTCAGGGACAGAGACAATTGATTAAAGTCCCTCATTTTATTTACTGTTTCACTGCCGGAATGTCAGTTGTCTGGTGTATCTGAGATCATAGTTCCAATTGAAACATTGCTATCGCCTGACATTGCAGAAGACGAAGTGTGGTTGTATGGCATGACATAATTCGGATGCGATAGTTTACGCTGTACTGGGGGCGGAATGGCTGTTTTTACGAACAACCACTTACAAGTCAGGTGACTATGCGACACCCGACTAAGTGAGGTGACAGAATCATGTTGGTGTTTTTTCACACGAATTGCGTGAAATACTTGATTGGAGGGATCTGCCGACCTCCCACAGGTACTAAGGCCCAGAAAGACAAGCTGGCTGAGGCAATACTACAAATGCCACTCCTATACTTTAGCAATCTACCTCAGTCACACCACACACATGGGTTCTGCTCGGTGGATTGAGGTTGTAGCCTCACCGTCATAATTGCTGGTCGACACCCTTCTTCCTTCTGTGATTTTAGGCTCTCTTACGTTAGTGGTACGTTTTGATCAATGTTTGCAAAGCATTCCTTCTATAGTTCAGCGAGCTTCCCTTGAATGAATAAACTTTGATTCGTTAGCCTTATGTTCTGGAAATTCAGTCAGTCCCGATTATAAACATAACTGTCACACAAAATCGTAAAACACAAAACGAGCTTGCAGGTTATGACACTATTTCGATGTGTCGATATGGCCACGTCCATTAACAGCCATCCAAAGACTTACTACCACACGGTACTCGACAAGCCCACTCGGCAGAATAATTCTGGTGCTGCTTCGAAACGAATGAAACAAAATACTTGATTGAGGGGATTTGCCAGACTCTCTAAAGTAAGCAAACTCAGTAAGAAAATTTGCGAATGTTTGCAACCAACACCCCTGATGCTTGACCGGAGCACATAATATTTCTAGACTTTACAAAAGCCTTTGAAACAGTACCCTACGCGCGCCTAATCGCAAAGGTTGCGGAAATAGGCTTTGCTGACCCCCTCGTTTATTGACTCAGAAACTTCCCTAAGAATAGAAAATATCGTACCAAGGTAAATAGAGTGCGCGCGAACTGGCGACTATCCACATCAGGAGTTTCACAAGGGGCCATCTTAGGTCCACTTCCCTTCGGGATATTCATTAACTATCTGTTATGTACAGTTAACTCACTGGAAACGGTCTGAAACTACACCAGCTGAAATGTCACGTCACGTACATTTTGATCCCCACGATGCAATCGCTTTATATCCACAAAGGAAGTCCACACCCTAATGTCTCCTCAGGGCGCGATTTCGGTTTCATAACCAATGGAATCCTACACACAAGTTTGAACTACATCGGGGACGCAGCTAACGCTATTGCAACTCTCCACTTTAGGCAAAGACAACTGAGTGCTGTTTAAGACACATGCACCCTCACACCTTGACGTTCATAACGTGTTCGCACCATTTCTCCCTAAAAAATGACAGTAAATCTTCTGGATCGAGTCCGCCAGATGACGAGCACGGAAACGGCTGATAGGGTGTGAAAAAAATACTTACGAGGATAGACGTACAGCATTTGGGATTATTCCCCATGGGACACAGGAGAATTAAAGGTAATATGATTATGGCGTACAGCGTATTGAGCTCGCCAAACCATTCAAACGTGAGCATCCTGCTGGTGCATCACTACTACTCCCCTTGCGGTAATCCTCGAAAAATCGCTCATCGGAAAGCGATTACCCAGGTTCATGTCCACTTTTTCTGATTAAGAGTAGTTGCAACTTGGAATGCTGTTCCAGCAGCGGTGATCCCAGCATCCTCAGTGGAGAGCTTTGAGAGGAAACTTGATAAACACGTACTCACATACGGATTATCATTCCCCTCATGGACCAGCTTTGCTTGATGCATGTCTTGAAACCTGCCTAATATCTCTGTTCCTTTCCCTTCCTTACACTTCAGTCTTCTCTCACAATTTTCACTACCAATTATTAAACTAGGTTATCTATTTAAATACTTAGTTCTAATATCCTCTTATTAGCATTAGAATTTTTATCCTTATTATTCACCACCTTGCAACTAACTGATCTACGGTCTGGTAATGTGATAGCTGCTGGTATCCAGAAGCCCTACCGCCCTGAAATGAACGTTTTCATTCAAGTCACGGAACTGTGGATCGACTAGTATTAGACAGTCGAGTGGCTGGAAACCATTCACTGGACACTACCAAACGCCAGGAACCGTATCGAAAGAACAAGAATCGAGCGCAAATAAATAAATGATTTGTACAAGCTCGTTAAAAAGATATTGGATATTAGATAGACTACAGCACTCTCTCCATTGGGTTCAAGTATAGCTATCTCTTTGTTCATAGCAGTTAACAGATCATTATTTAGCGGTTGCCCTTTCTGAGGGGAAAAGAGTTTTATGTATATTCATTGGTTGCATAAACTGTGATACATTGATGACCGCATAACTTCTGACGCCGAAATACACAACATTCTTAAGGGTGATAAATCGCACTTAAGAGTTCTTTAGAGTCCATTATTATTAAAAATCCGACAACTTATATTGATACGAATAATCATGCCCAGGATAGTTGGACCTTTTAACAGACAGTGGTCAGCTGAATCAGGCTGCAACGGATTTTGTTGAAAAGGTATATAGAAGACGTAAACACTAAATATTGACATTAAAACTGCCTAAAAGCTATCCAAAGATTCCGACAAACACTGGATAACACATAATATGTACTCAGAACCACCTATCTTTAATTATTTGTCATTTTAGAAAATGATATTGGTCATCAGGTTTCACAATTTTATTATTCACTGTGAGAGGATGGTTATACTTGTAGAGATCAACTTTTATTAAGAGGACGCGATCAGAGATCATAGTCAACTGCGACTAGAGCCATTATATACTCATACCATGAATTGAAAATGTAAGGCTTTTCTCAATGGTTAGCGCCTGTTTCAAAATGCTGGTGTGACAGATGACCTCTCGTAAGAGACCGTCCTACAAAAGGAAAGCGGCTGTTCTGGCTGGTCTGGAAGCCCTTAATTCATTCAAGGTACCAAAAAAGCAGAATAATTTATGTAAGTGGAAATTCAACGGTTTGTGTTGCTCCTAATCTGGGCTGTTTTGTTATTCGTGTTATCTCATTTTACTACAATCTCTTTATTACCGAGAGTTCTTTAATACTTTATGGTGTAACTAATGCCCAAAATATTTTCACTAGTATTGTCATAATCAGCTTGTTCCGTGTTTCGAATGAAGATACTTTTCTGAATAATTGGTACTCGAGAATATAATACGACGGTACTTTTAGGAAATGAAACTTCTGTAGTGTGCAGTGATATTGTAGTCTCTTCACTAGTGAGCAGTCACATGTATTACCAAAGGACTACTATGCCTATTATTTGCTTGTTGTTATGTCTTAAAAACATGCAATTAAGGCTTCATTTTCAACATAAATTCTTCCATAGCACTTTGTATTTCATGATTTTTAACTAAAAAATCATACCTAAATGCAGGACAGTCCTACCTAATCAAAATTTGTTGAAATACAAACTTGAAGATGTTAGGTATCCCAGAAAATTAAATATTGCTAGGCGTTAGGTGTAAAACTTTTAGCACGATAACTGACTGAACTTCGCGGTAGTCGTCTTTCACCATATGTTGCGAAATTCAGCAGTACCTACCCAGCTACGGATGGCATATTTTGGCATGATAGGCTTATAGGTTTGTGCTTTAGACATAAGATGATGGATGTTTTCGTTGTAATTACTCCAAAGTGCGTTGCAATTGTACATATTTATGTCCATACAATTAATTAATATTATTGATTCAAACAGTTCACTTTCGTAATTAGCAATCCTTGATAAGTGTATAACAAGCGATCTGTCGAAATGTTTATGCGCTTCACTATTCTATGACATTATTTATTGTACATAAAATGATGTAGTACAGCTTTTGTTGTTAACGGTGTCAAAGCAACTATTTCCCTGAGTCGAAACTATTATAAAGACGTATCAGCCATTTGAAGTAAAATCTTATACTTCTACTGCTTGTACTATTATGGGATTTGAATGGACAAGTGCGTCTGTGTACTAATGTGGTATGGCAACTGCTGCACGTACGTACTGAGTTTTGCATTGTAACTGACTGATTTAAATGCATCAATAGGAAGAAGCACTGAAATTCGTATGCGCGACAGAAGCTAATACATTTTTGTGTTGACTAGGTTATTTTCCTCGTTCCCAAACCGGAAAATTTGATTTTCTCAGGGTTCCACTCACCAAGATTTAGAAAGAGATGAGGAATTCAGGTTAGAATTTGACAAACTTTCTTGAAACCTACTCCTACACCACAAAACATTGCTCGTCGAGTCATTCGGTGGTTAGGCATACGTAACACATGTCCCAACCACTTTAACTGATCGAGTTTCACTACTTCATCAATCCGTCTGCCATCCCTACCTAGTATTCGTTTCTTAATAACAGCGTTGCTTACTCGGCTGTCCTAGGATATACGAGCAATTCTTTTAAGACATCTTTGATCGAATACTAGCAACCTACAAATGTCCTCAACTCTTACCGGTCAGGTTTCGCATCCATATAGTAGGACAGAGCGAAATGCTGCGCAGTACACTCGTCCTTTGGTTAGCAAACGGATATCTCGCCTGCACCATTGGTGACGCAAGTTGGCAAAAGCCAGTCTAGCTTTCTGCCTCCGTGCTGAGATTTCGTCAGTCACCAGGCCATAAGCATTGACCAATAGAATTAGACTTACAAAAATAATTCTCTTAAGATATTGAATGAATATCCTAACATGTTTTTTCTTTCGTTTTTATTTTTCTAACAAAATTCTAAAGCACTTCTTGAAAATGTGGACTTGAATTCTGTCGATTTTACCGAAGAAATCTATTCACAAATCAATCAAAGTTTTCGTTTTCCTCAACTTTCATCCTATTTTGATGTGAAAGAAGCATGGTTTATTCATAATAAAACATTAGAAGATATATTTTCGCAAGCTCGTAAACGATTTCAAAAAACTCCTTTGAACAATAATATTTCCGGTGTAGAATCAAGTTTATGCACTGGTTTCTTAGTTGTTAATAATTGGAATGATGTTGAGAAAATTGCCAGTGATGGTCTCCTACCTGGCAATGATCCAGATACTTGGCTTGGTCAACAAAAATTAGGTAAGTGTGTGTGTGTGTGTTCAACTTATGTGCTCCGCCCTCTCTCTATATATATATTCTTGCCTCATACGTATATATTTTTCGGATGGTCCTTTCTGTGTTTTATTTCAGTGACAAATTGTTGGTGTTAGTTGAGGAAATTTTTATTTATAGATTAAAGAATTTTTCAGTCAATCAGTCAGCAATGACGTAGAACTTGGTACATGTATGTACCATATAAGTACAGAGATGCATTTATCATTTCAAATCCCATAGAAGTTCAGGTAGTAGAAGTAATAGCGTTAATGTAGAAGATTAAGGTTTGAAGATGTTATTCAAGATGTATTATCCCCTGAATTAAACTTCAACAAAAGAAAGATAAATGTGATGAAGAATTTAGAGAATTAGGATTTAAGAAAAGACAAAAAATGAATGAAAATGATTTTGAGCCATGTCATTCAAGATCTCGCGGACCCCATCCAAGTAGTCTACTTCTACCAACATGACTCAGTCCAATGGTCAGTGAATTCATGAATCTGTGCCATGTCTCGGTTTGGCCGACCCCAACTTTCTTCCAGATGACTACATCAAACAACATCCCTCATCGAGGCAATTGGTGGTTGGGCATACGTAGCATATGTCCCAACCACCTTGATCAATGAAGATTCACTACTTCATCTATCAATCTTCCATCCTTACCTAGTACTCGTTTTCTAACAATTTCATTGTTTATTCGGTTGTCCCACGATACACGGGCAATGCTTCGGAAATACCGATGATCGAAGGCCATTCACGTTGGAATATTCTCTACTCTTATTGGCCTTGTTTCATAGCCATAAAGTAGGACAGAGCGAACTGCTGCACAGTAAACCGATCCTTTGTTTGGTAGACGGATATCGTATCTACGCTATAAGTGACGCAGAATGGCGAAGGCCAGTCGAGCCTTCTGTTTCCGTGCTGAGATTTCGTCACCTACTAGGCCATCAACATAGATGAATCTCCCAAGATAAGTGAAGCGATCAACAAACTCAACTACTTCACCCACTATACCACTATTTCAGGTGCCGACCTAAGCGAGTCCTAGTGCTCTAATCAAGGCAGTTAATTCTCTTCGGAGTTAACTCCACCGAATGAAGCTAGTAAGATTTCTTTGACAGAGGCTATATACATATGGTTTGATGAAGTCATTATGAATATGGTGATAGATGAACATCTGGAAGCTGGTGAATTTTTACCAACTGTTATCTTATCCGAAAGTAATCACCTACTCTATTGACATTTTTTGCCTTGTATATTTTTTGGTAGAACAAGACATCAATACAATAGAATTAGTTAAATACAAGTAAAGGTATAAAAATTCTACAGCACCTTACTTAGGAAATAGACTATAGAATGAACAGTTGAAAAGAACTTACCTTGTCAACTACTTATATGCCTTAACATAGGTTCCTCCTAATTAAAAAATTTGTATAGATTTGCATTAAATCCCAAATAGTTTGTTTAGTGAAGTTGTTTAAAAATGTATGTATATATGTTGACAGTTATTGGGTGTTTCTTTTTTTAGCTTGTGAAAGAAACTCATTAAAATATTCTGTACTGAGAATTCCTATATTATACTAAACATTTAATATTGAACAAATCTATTATTGTTCAATTAGAGTTATGAAGATTAGTGTTTGTCACAAATTGAAATCATCAATCGTTAGGAT